ATTTTATTTTGTCGTTGTCTTTGTCGTTTGTTTACTAGCGCTTAGAACAGATTTGTATTTGCGCTTTATAAATAAATATTATTATTATTATTATTATCGTATTCGAAAAAATTTCGGGTACGAAATGTTCTCCGTCCACACTAATACGGCTAGCTGGCGTATTCAAATTGTTCCACTCTGGAGACCGTATTCGAAAAAATTCGTTTTCGGTGAAGAATTGTTCCGAATTCGCCCGGACTAGTGTGGACGGTAGGCCTAACCGAATAAATAAAAATTCGGATTCAAATTTATCTGTCATAGTGTGGACGGGGCCTTAAAAGAATTTCTCAATTTTCTACTGAAGTTTTCTCGGCCGACACAACACCTGACATGATTAATCTTTATAGGGTTAGTCCAGGTGCTCCTTCTAGTGCTGCTGTATGAAAAAAGTAAAAGAATTCAGATATGCAATTTAGGAGTTTTGATAACATCTTTGGAATTTTAGGCTTGGTTTAAACTTGGCCGCTTCTATCACATCAAACTTCTTACTGAATTTCCTGAATTTCAAAGGATATTTACTGAAACTCTAAATTAAAAAAATTGCAATGCCTGTCTTTATTTTAATTTTGAGAGTTTTACGGCAAGAAAACGTAATTTTTGGAGAACAAATTAATTACCATAAACGTTGAATATTCCGGAGCATAAAGAAGAGATGGCTGTGGCACGTTTCATATCCTTACGAATTTCTGGTTTAAATTTAACTCATTAGAATTTTCTCCCGCTATTTTTGCAAAGGGTCAATTAACAAAGACGTTTTTCTACAGGATGAACAAGGAAATCTACGAGGAAGTTATGAGAATGATGGACAAAACAGTGAGGAGCTGATATAGTCATATTTATGGACTGCAAAGTGGAATTGTTCAGTTTTGGCGTTTAGTCCCACTGAATAAATCCTAAACTCGATTAGCTGAAGAAATAAAAAAACTTGTGGTATGTGGAGTTATAAAGCGCTTGGAGATTGGCAGAACACTCGAGAAGTGTCGAGAAGCATTCCGCTACGATTCGTGCTTCTCTCACACTTCTCTCGTGTTCTACCTATTTCCGCGTGCTTCAAAACTGCACACAGCACGCGCGCGCGTTTTTTTATTTCTTCATTATCTCAGAGGGACCTAAGATAAGAAAATGGAAAAAATGGCATTAACTAATCTAAAAAAATGACAATTTAAAAATAAGATATTTTCATACTTTTTTGGTGAGGTGTGATAATGAACGTGCAGGTCACAAACCATTTATATCAATAGAATACTTAGGGACCCTTGTTAATAAATGAGAGCAAATAGGATGTTTTTATAATGGCTTCATTTGACTCCCACTATCATAATGCTTCACGAATGTTCTTCCTTATTTAAATTTGTATTCCCAAATGAGAATAGTGAGACAATTGGTGCTAATTAAGTGAAAAAAAGAAAGTGTTTAAGGGAGTCTGGTAGTAGAGGTCAATGCAAACGCTCTAGCAAATAGCTCAAAATCCAAAAATGCAACGCGTATCACATTGTATTTATACGTAAGGCATTTTAAAGGCCAATTTCTACATTACCCACAACTTACCGTGATATTTAGTATTTTAGTTGTAGCATGTGTTTGTCTGGCTATCAAACCGTCAACCGACGAGTAAAGAATTAAATTTAGTTAGTAAGTAGCAGATTGTGGACTAATGAAGTCGTTTCTTTCCAGACTTAATTATAAGCCAGTTCATAGATTAATAMTTGTATTTTGAGTGCACATATGCGATTTTATCCCACCTTTTCTCACCTTCTTTKTTTAARCCTTCTGTTGTTCTTAATTAAACAAAAGGTGAGAAATTCGGGATAAAATCGCATATGCGCACTCAAAAAACAATTATTAATCTATGAACTGTCTTATAGACCTGATATACCTCCTCGGCTCTGGAGCGCTCGAGCGTAATGTTGTCCCATTTCAGAGTACGTGTCATTCCCTTGAGAATAATATTCTTTGTTTGAGTTGTATCCATATTCATGTGTCTTTTCATGCGCAACCGAGCGCAAACCTTAAACAAAGAAATGATGCTCTAGGGAATGACACGTGGTCTGAAATGGGAAAATATTACGTCAGAGCCGAGGAGGTCTATTCGTGGTATGACAATGTCTTCTCAATTGAAGGTGACAAAAGTGGAAAATGAACAACTATTGTTTTGAGACTCGTCGGGATATCATCGTTTTTCCTTTCGTATCCTTTGGGATACTCATGAATTTTTCATAGAATAAATACAAAAGAAAATGAATTCTCTAGAGGTTTGTCACGCTGAATTGGGAAAGCATTGTCTCCACACGAATGAGGCCTATTGGGAAAGAAGGCTTTAGTCCACGTTCTTCTATCATAATCATAGTTAATAGGTTACAATTAAATGGTAAAAAAATGATTTGATTACAGAACTTGTATCAAGTTTATAACACGTTTAAAACAAATTAAGTGTTTCTTAATAGGTTGGTATTATTATCATTTATTGCTTCGGCAACTTTAAAATTATAAATTTAATAACCGAATTTTAGGGCTGGACGCCCACACACACAAAAAAAAAAGGGTTTAAAGTATACCCAAATGCACTTAATATACGATTACCTATATAACCTTCTAGAATATTTATAATTTTTGTTGGTGCTATTTCATTAGTCGTTCCGAGGTTGTGGAGGAAAAACTGGCTTGACTTGGCATTCCGGTGCATCGTGRGATTGTTTGAGAGACATATTTCCAAGATGGCGTCCATTTTGTTCCTAAAACAGCGCCCACAATGCACTGCGATGCCAATTCTACCCCTTTTTCCCCTTAACCTCGGAATGGCTCATTAGCGTTGATTATCTACCTGTATACCATGGGTGTCATTGAATACTTTCCYATTACAGACCACGTGTAATTCCCTGTAGTATTATTTCTTTTTTAATGGTTGCACATGAAAATACACATTGATACAATTCAAACGAAGAATCTCCAATAGTCCCCTTCACAGTTCCCTGCGCCATCTTGAAAGGTAGCCGTGCCTTTGCATGGAAGCGAGACGAACGGTGAGCTTGCAATGATAGAAACATGTGAATAATTGTCCAAAGTGTTAARAAGGTCTCTATCCTTGCACGCTCACCGTTCATCTCGCTGCGATGCAAAGCCACGGCTACCTTTCAAGGTGGCGCAGGGAATTGTGAAGGGGACTATTCTCTAGAGATTAATGACACGTGGTCTGAAATGGAAAAGCATTACCCCGATGTTTTGTTTTTATATTCATTGTTGTTGTTGCTCATGTTTGATTTAGATCAATAAAAACTTTTGCTTGCTATAGATATGGTTTCTTGTTTTAACATGTTTTCATTTTGTTTGTTTGCTTTCTTGTTTTTCATTTCATTTCATTTTCCTTCTGTTTATTATTATTATCATTATATGTATATATATATATTTTTTTTTTTCCCTCCTTAAATCAAATTATCATTAAGACTAGGGTTTACCAACGGAGACGCAATAGCTGCCAAACTACAAATAAATTCTACTTTTCGCAAAGATTGCTGCAACTTGTCTCGCAACATTTTTTTTTTCAAATTGCGCAGTTGATTACGCATTGCAATAGCGCAGCGCAGTCGTGACGTCATAAAAACGAAGACAAAGGCGAAATTCGGACAAACAAGTTTACTTTCAGCAGATAATTTTCACAGCCGATCGTAGTTGATCTTAGTTTACATGCGTTATTATTGTAACTTTAAGTAAAAATAATAAAATCGTTTCGTATAATCCTCGTAGCGGTTAAACAGAATGCAATGTTTGTCCGAATCTTTAAGTTATTTTTAGAATCACTGCGCTGCGCTATTGCTGGCTTTTACTTGGCTGATAAAATTTTTGAATCTCATTACTGCTCCAAATTAAATAGTGGTCAACACTGACAACCATGTGCTGTCAACCAGAAAGAATTCTATTGAAAACTTGTGATTCAACTGATGAACATTCCGCACGAGACATGAAATGACGTCCAATGAAAGCCAGCAATGCTCCATGCAAACTTGTGTTGCAGCGCTGTTGCGAGAGACAAGTTGCAGAGAAAATTGCTCCGTGTAATCGCTCCTACTTTTATTCCGATTCGATGTGCGATAGTTGTATGAAATTGAAGAGGACAATGAAATGAGATGGAGATCACGAGAAAAGTTGTGAAAGCCAACATTCAACGCACGTGAATAATTATGCATGATTTCAAGCTTGAATATCAATGTTAGTCAGTCAAGCAGTTTGGTATACTCAACATGGACTACTATAGATTCCGTGGGAGCGGGGAAAAACTACAAACAGGATTTATGGAGCACAAAAACTAGAAGAACCTGAGAAAGTAAGTTATAAGAATAATTTGGGCGAACAACAGAATTGTGGCTAAAAATTATGAGGCAGAACCAGCCAGGTTGAAATTCAAGAGAGAATCGCTTGACAATTAATGGTAAGACATGCCATTTGATTTATAGTTCTGACTTGCAGTTTCAAAGCTTACTTTTTGTCTAGGTCATTACCGGGGTATTGAGGAAAACAGCTTCAATTTTGCAAGCTGTAAAGCTTGAGGCTGAAATTTAAAAGAGACTAGCTAGTCCGCGCTGATATTTTGTGGTACAACTTTTGATTTCAATTCAGTGACTTTGTAGTGGTTTCACTTTTTGACCGGTATGAGCATGCACTTAGAGAAGTAGAGCGGAACTCTTGATGCATGAATATTTCGTGTAAGATCTATACCTTGCTATGGTTTCAAAAAAGTCTCYAAATCAGCTACACACAGAAGTGCAAAAGTTGAGCTCATTTCTTGGATGATTTGGCGCATGCGCACACGTTTTTCAGCCCTGTCTCAATGAATGTCATTTCCAGTGTCTATTCAAATAATTCAAATCACGCATGGTCTGAAATGGACAAAATTATTATTAGGAGGGAATTCATTTGTTCATTAATCATGTTTCATGCAAATTCCCTAGCAACAAAGCTTAACAAAGTCATGACCTCGCGGCCCTCAATGTTGTGGGACTGGGCCCGGTTGTACGAAGCCTGGATAGCGCTATCCGACGGATAAATCTTATCCAGTGGATAAATTTATTGGATAACAGCATCAAGTATTTGAATAAGATTGTGTCTAATAAACCTGAAGCGAGATGACGTTCACCCCCGACTCTATACCATAATAGTTTTTAAAATTCTTTCATATTAAAATTTTGTATTCCATAGAGAATACAGGAACAATAGTCATAATTAAAGAACAAAAGCAGTGTGAAAAGGATTATGGTCTAGAGACGGGGGTAAAACGTCATCTCGCTTCAGGCTTATTGAACGTGTTTTATGAAGTATCTTACGTACCTTCTGATTAAACTCCCAGAAATTTGCCGTTGCCATGGTGATGAACAATTATAAACGTTCTTAAGGATACGTGATCTACTCGAGGTGAGTCAATTGCCATATTTCATTTTCTTATAAATTCCTATTTTCGAAAAAAAATATGTCTTTGCACTGTATGATTTTAAACTTCTTTCCTTCAAACTTCTCATTTTTAATAATCTTAACGAGCTCAATTCAAGAAATAGTAATTACTCTTCTGTCTTTGTGAGTTTTGGCATTACAGAGTGATAAAACTGAGCTTATTGGTGGCTATTCTTATTAGTAAATCACTAATGAGCTTATTGCTCTCTATTAAAGGGGTTAAGGGGAAATGCGGTCGCTAGACGTTGATTTGCAAAGAATAAATAATTTGTCTAGTCAATTGCCATATTTCGCTATGACGTCTACACATCAAAATATAACATGTTGTTTTAAAGCTAAAGAATATGGTCGCCAGTGAAGACGAAATAGCAGCAACATATAACACTAATAAAATTACGATAAAATTTGGTTTTAGGAGCTGATAAAAATTGATAACAGCTAAATATTAAAGTGAATATCCAGAGTGAGAGAAGGTTTAGCATAAAATAATTTTTTTGCGACGGCAATAATGCAAATTGTACCGATTTCGCGCGTGTGGGAAAGGCGTTTTGCTTTATTACATTTATAAGTCCACGAAGAGTACTGAGTAAATCAGCTTAAAGTTTCGTGCAATGGTGAACTTTTTTAACATCAGTTAAGCAATCTCGATCCTGCATGGTTTAAAACGTTGCTTGCGGGAAACGATAACTGACAGTCTTTTTTAATTTCTCGGCAGCCCACACTTCAATTTGATCTCAGATTTCAGATTTTAGATTTCAGATCTCCGAACGACATCGTTTTTTTCGAAATAGGCTTGTTTCCGTGGCAACTACAACCTATACTGCAATCACTCTAAAATGGAACACACTACTATTCAACATAATATCATTTACGTCCGCGATTTTTTGATACCAGAGTCAACAAAAACCGCGCAAAAGATTTTATTATTTACTGCTGTTTTTGATTTGCAATTATTTTAAAGATGTAAACTTTCGCGTTTTTAAAGGTTGCGAGTGAGACTAATAGTTATTCTTAACAATGATCAATTTCCCTGACATATTTATGATTAAGAACTGGTTCTTTAAACATCTCATCAACGAGCCAAATCCAGTCAACATATCCGTTTGGATTTACCTTCATTTTTCAATATATTTATTAACAACGGAAACACTTCATTTGGAGAAAACAAGAAATGTTTAAAATATAAAATATAATGAAATTTTGGCTAGTAAAGGATCTTTGAGAAAGAAAAGATATCATCATCATCTTCTTCATCATCATCATCCTCACCACCATCACCATCCTCACCATCATCACCACCATCATCACCATCATCATCACCACCATCTGCACCATCACCATCACCATATGAATATGACAAATATGAATACTAATATGCTGCCACGTAAGGATTAAAGAAAAAGTCTCTTTCTAAAACTGAATGGTTTGGGAATATGCATTGATCTTATATTATAGCTAGTGTTCTCATCCGTAATCATGTCCATGACTAACAACTGATTGTCCGGTGATATATGACAAGACATAGAGTCTAATTGCCTACACTAACCTCTGTTATCTCTACAATTCTTCATTACCGTGGTGTTTGATAGCTGTGACGGGTATCATGATTACAAAAGGAAACATGTTATGCCCTTAAGGGATATTCTATCACAATCTGACATATCATAGTTAAGCCTATGTGAGCTAAAATCTAAACAACCATTGTTTGATATGGTATACACAGCGTACCAGATTGATTCTCGGGGGCTGCTCTGCTGTAACATCGCTCATTTTCACCAAAACAAGGTACATTTCTGATTTTGTTTCTGTTTTAGCCGTATCCTTTCATATTTGAGAACAAATAGCAATCCTGAAAAACAGAGAAAATTTGCGAGTCAAGAACACGCGCGTATATTACTCGCGATAGTCTAAAACCGTTTCCTAAAACGAGTCAGGCAATTTAGAATATAACAGAGGATTCTGAAACGAATCGGAGAAAATTAATTTCAACTGGAAAGGGATAGTTGTCTTTTCCTTTGGCTAAACCCGAATTTATTACAATTATAATTATTTTTCACTCAGCTTTTTCTTTCTTTCTTTCTTTCTTCTCTTTGTTTTTTTTGTTTTTTTCGTTTTTTTTGTTTTTGTTTTTTTTTTTCGTGGAAAATCTTTGATCTAGGTGTGAAACGAGAAACTTTAGTTCATAGAAACAAATTGCTTCAATTTTCCTCTTTGCTTGCTCTAAATTTCTTGTTTCTTTTTTCCCTTGCTACCTTCTCTATCATTACCTTAATATTGACTACGCAATCCTCAGTACCACTCTGAGTGTTCCACTTATCGCCTAGGCCTTTTATACTACTACGGTTGCTCGTATAGAACGTCTGTTGCTCGCTAAGCCCCGTTTACACTGACGATTTTTGCGGCGAATTTTGCTGCGATTTTTGTTGCAATTTTCGGAAACAT